AAGCACAAAAACAAGACGGAGCGAAACAAAGCCACAAAAGAAAACAACAACAAAAAAACCAACGACATAAAAAGAAAAGCCTAGAAATAGTTCCTGGTCTGTTTGTGGACCTTTAGGAGTGTTTTCCGTCCAGTCTGGTAGGGTGCCATGCTCTGGCCTCACAGTCAGTTTTGCTTTTCTCCAGGGACGTCCTTGCTCTGCTCCCCTTGCAAAACCCTCAGTGTTTTGCCTCAGTGTGGCAGGGTCAGATCAGGCACAATTCCCCCACTGTGTCGCTAGTGTTGTCCCGTAGCGCTCTGGGTCAGTGAGGGATATCGTGTGAGGGATGGCATGTCTCCGTGGTGGGGCCGGTCCGCTGGTCCTCTCTGATAGCACAGGTTTTTACTAAGTCTTTCCTAATCCCCATGCACATTTTCTCCATATAATCCAGCTTCTCTGATTATTTGCTGAGCATATAGACTGAATGACCATGGTGTGAGCACACAACCGAGACGCCCACCTTTCCTGATTTTACACCTTTAAAATTTAATTAAATTTAAAGTTTGGCTGAAACCTGTTCCTTTTGGGGGGCCCTGGTGGTATCTGAACTACCAGTGACGTATCTTGTGGCATCGCGGTATCACAGCCACACACGAGCCACCACAGCGTGCAGGATTACATGCGCTCAAGCTCCTAAAGGCGATTCTTTAACAGTGACTGCTGTTTTTTTATTTTGTTTTTAAGAAGCCTCAAATAATTTCTGGAATAAGGGCATGCTACTCAGTAAACAGGGCTACCGAGAGAACAGAGTCTGTCTCATCCAGGGTTGAACAGACAAAACTCAGCATCCCACTGCGACCATTCCATAGCGTAGACATTCCCATTAGGGCAGACACAAATCTCCATGGACCCACACAGCAATTACTCTCCTGGGAAATTCAACGTTCATGTAAAACGGCGCCCGAGAGTGAGAGTTTAGAAACCTACCTGGAAGCCCCGCAAGGCTGTGGCAGCTGCGTAGGAAGATGCAACGTCTCCCTTGCACCGGTCTCGCACACACGATGAGGCATCTCTGGGCTCCACCCCTGGGTGCAGAGTGCCATCCCTCCCAAGCACAGCGACTGAGTACTCACTAGGGGTCGGTCCTGTACGCCAGCATTTCTGTACGTGATCATTTCGTCCTCACAAGAGTCCAATGAAGTAGCTAATGTTGACGTGGATGCTACACAGAGGTCAGGCCAACTGCTCGAGGGGAGCAGAGCCGGGGTAGCGTCAGAACGTAAAACCCAGCTGTCTGACTCCAGGCCCGTTCTCCAATATAAAACAATGTGCGGGGGACAGGGTGCAAATGATTTGATCACGGCAATACCCAGCGGAGGAGAAGATAACTCCTCTCTGGTGGATGGTAAACTCCCTGCAGGTGGGAAGCCAGCCTTGCCAATGTTTACAGAAGACTCCCCCTAGAGTGTCCCAGAGAGTCCTTGGGTAGAACAAAGGTAACATGCTTGGTTGTTAACCACAAGGTTGGAGGTTCAAGCCCACCCTAAGGTCCCTTGGAAGCAAAGCTTGGTGACTGATTTCTCAAAGATCAGCCCTGGCACATGTGGGGTCACCAGGAGACAGAGAGACTTGGCGGCAACTGGTTGGAGTGGTTCAGGGGGTGTCTGGCCTATGTTGTTGTTAGGTCGACTGCCATCACGTGGGTTCCAACTCACAGCAACCTGATGTACCACAGAAGGAAACATCCCTAAGTCCTGTGCCATCCCCAGTGTGCCCATCAGGCTGCCCATTGTGTTAATACATCGTGTTGAGAGTCCTCATCACCTCTTACCCTGTCCCTCTCCTTCCCCTAGCCTGCTGTCCTGTCCCAGGGACTGGTCTCTCCTGATAACATGTCCAAATATGTGAGGCAAAGTCTCACAGCAACATACTAAGCTTTTCTCCTTCTCTCTCTACTTATTCTTGAAGCTTCTTTTTTTATTGGGGGAGACAGTGGCTACGTGTCTACGTTTTCCAATCTTTTCAGAGGGCCACCCAAGTCGATGACCGAGCCATACGTAATTCAGGCACCCAAGAGTCTGCGCAAACAGTGCATGCACCTGGCCACCAGCTTGTTCTTCATTCCACAGAACACCAGAGGAAGCCCCAGGTTACGCCCTTCAACTTGGCTGGCTTACAGTTCCAGGGTTCGAGTGTCCTGGAAAAGCCCCCCCAGTCACTGAGACACGGACCCTGTTCTGCCGCACGATCCAGTTCACATTGCAAATGGGGAAAACGGAATGACAACACACAAGCCAACAGCCAGACAGACACCTTTTGGTTTAAAATCGCTTTCACTGCCTCTTCCACGTCCTCCTGGCTGTCCAGGTCCACGGTCCACACGTGCGGCCGGCCGATGAAAACCTCAGCGTAGGGATGCTG